GCACAATAATGAGCGCGTTTGCAAAACTCCATAATACTTACAGTTTTATCCTTTGGTGTCCTAAGTTTACTTGCATGTTAAAAAGAAAGGAAAGTTTTGGAAAGTAAAGTTTTGTCTGTCACTACAAATTGCGCTCCTCTGCTCTTAATGTTTCCCAGCCTGTAAACACCTCTAGCCATATTCATAGCTCTTTTTCATATATTATCTCTCATTCCTGGGACCAGCTACCATCTTCAGTTAAATCGGTAACTACTCTTAAATCTCGCATAACTACGCCTGGCTGTAAGTGTAATAAGTGTATTAGTATACAATTGTAGGGGTTGGGTTATGAATTGGTAATTAGGCTTCAGGGTTAGGGCTACAAGTTAGGTGATTAGGGCTGGTAGGGTTTCAGGGGAAGTTCAGGATTAGGGTTAGGGGTAGGGGGCTAGGTGATATTTTTGCGATTTTTTCGTCAGATATACATATATTTAACTTGTACATATATTTATATACACATCTGTATTTTATATGTCGAGCGTTCTCAACTTGAGCCATTAGGGATTGGGTAACCACCCCCTACGTTACAGACGTAAAATAAAGTGTATTGTATTGTATTGTATTGTATTGGCAGAAAAAGCGTATGATTGAATTGTTGATGGGCATGAACCCAAACACTAAGAGCACAAGTTATGTCCACGTGCCAAAGCTACAGCACTTGTTCATCATAAAGCTGAATTTCGTCGAATCACGTGTTTGCTCTTTATTAAATTAAAAGAGTTTTTGTCGCAGTGAAACGAGTAAATGACATATGATAATGACAAGGATGTTACTGTAGTTGTGTTGGATGATATGCAAGGTCAGCTGATGAATAAATGCAAATCAGGATTCTGCATGAAACATTAACCATCGAAACGGATTTGCTGGAATTTTTTCCTACCCATGGCCAGCAGGGCAAAGATTTTTAACTGTTCAAACACTCGCTACACTAACCGTAGGTCTTTAATCACTTTTGAAAATAGAGCTTTCTGAGTATCTAGTGAATATTGAATCACTTACCTGGTTTAATAGAAATCATGGCGATTTTGCTGATATCTCCTTCTAAAAATTGCTGTCAAACGGAAAAAAGGTCAAAAAGTGACCAACAATTCTGTTGATTCCTTGATATATGAAAAGAAATGTAGCACGAACAACATGTCCGTAAAAACGTGGGGTTTTCATACGATTTTTGTTAACTTACCAGATCCAACATTTGCGTCATTAATTGTAACCCTAAGCAGAAATTTCACGGAAATTAAAATTTACTTACACCGTTGTAATCGGTTAAGGCTCTTTGGTATACAATGTAGTTTTCTCCTCTTGCCAGTTCGTTGTTAACAAAGGCTCCATACGATTTCCCATCACCAACAGTAAACTTCCAAGACTTCTCATGGACAGGGTTATTTTTCAACTCCGCAGCAACATAAAATGGATAAAAGTTCGTGTTATTTGTATTCAAGTCTTGAACACAATCAGAGACTTTAAGAACAATTACCTGATAGGCACTGAAATCATGAATAAGAGCGAAATTCTTATCAATGAAACTCTAACCATCGTTCCGTCGCTTTTGTAAAACTGGTAGACGTTAAAGACATCAGATTTAGATCTAAGAATCACGTAGTAGACTCTGCCCACATACTCCGTTTAATTCCTTCACATCTTCATGAAAAAGAGTCGTAACGTTTACTTATTGATCTTTCATTTAAAAATATAATAAATAAATGAATAAATAAATAGGTTTCTGAGAGTCCTGAGATAAAAGGTGGAGTGAATAAAAATTAGCGTACAGTAATGTATATTGTTTATTGACCTTTTAACTCTCAAGATCTGATCATTAATTCTCCCTTCTACTCGCTACACATTTCCTTGTAAATTTGTAACGAGAATTTGGTGTTAGATCGAGAAAACAAGTTCTATCTGATAAGTTTGAGTATTCTCGTTAATTGTTTGCTGGATATTGTATCGATGTTAAGGGAGAAGTTATGTATTAATCATTTCTAGGGGAACAAGGGTTAAATAGGCTGACGCTTTGTCTGTCTCATCTTTGGGATCACGACCAAAAACCAATAAGGACACCAACAGTAAATCAAAAATCCGTCATTTTAGAATAAGTCGAATACTTATGCTAGTACTTCACCTGAAACTTGTTGGTAACAACATGATTTCGAGTGCAATTTGGTGTTAATAAGCACGAAAGAAAGTTTTTAAAAGACAAAATGCAATTTTCAGTCTTTGAAAAATTTACAAGTGCTTATTTAAACCAAATAACACGATAATCGTGTTATTACTTGTTAAGAGGCTGTCTCTCTTATTTCCACCCGGTCAATTTTGCGTCAAAAATAATTTTGCCTGAAACTCTGTTAACAGAAAGACTTTACCTAGGAAAGAACTGAATTAGATTTGGTTTGATTCGAAATAATTTTCTGACTGCATTAGGGGCCATAATTATTTCCCAGTCCGTAGGGACCGTACCAACGTCTTGAAAATTGAAAAATAGGCATATTGTAACATTGTAAAATATTTGATTTGCATAGTTAAGCCACAGAATTTATATCAGATTGCTTAAAAACCTTTATAGTTTGCCAAGAAAGTTAGAATTTGCTCTCTCAACATATTTGAAAAGGCGAATTTTAGCATATTCTGGCCACTAGAAATCGCCATCGGCCGATGGCCGTAAATAACCTTGATTTGGACGCTAAGTTTTGGGATTTGGGACCTGCTTGCCGATTCTATCCTACACAGCCGTTAAGTTTAGACCTTTATAGGCAAAACTATGCAAAAACCCCTGTACGTTTTCGATTTTTCAAAAGTTATGACCGTTTGAATCAGCAGATGTACGAGCATTCGCGATTTTTTCGCCTACACCAAAATCGAACCACTGGAGCAGATTTTGTCATAAATACAGCTTGCCCGCTTTGCAGCCCGGCTTCATGGCTCACTTCAGAATTTTTGTAATAACCAAATTGGTGAAATCCATCATAACGTCAACAAAAAGCTAGGTATTGCATTCGAAAAGTAGGCGGCATCCATCGTCATTCGTGGTATCAAAACAAATGTCGGAATAGGCAACATTTCGCGGTGAATCACCCATTTAACATCGATGCAGAGCTGAATTTTTTCCAAAATTAAATATAAATTCTCCATGTCTGGAAGCTGAGGGAGAAATGAAGGTTTTAGGCTTCTGAAGTAAAGAAATAATCGCTTAAATTTAGATCCAGTTCGATGTTATACTGTTCTCAGAAAGGTCCGCACAAAAGAGAAGACCGCTGATAGCTTGTGCCGTACGTTGTGCCATATGGTTTTGTTTTGTATCCCAATGTAATATTTGGGCAGAAAAATTTTGGATGAAAAGAATAAATGCTTTTACCTGGAGTTTGATATCATATAATTAATAAATCAATTTCAAATATCCTGAGCTTGCTTCTCTCGGTTCCGCGTCGATTGTGTCCACAGAACAGCAACCTGTCAATAGCCGGAGAAATCATGGGTTTATGTGAAATTTCAGATATTCCTCGCTTCCCAAACTGGTGAACTTTATGATAACT